CACCTTCTGATCCCAGGAGTACAATAGTCATAATAGGCTTGTGGGGAGGCTGGATTCTCTGGGACTAAACAGGATTTTGCAAATGCTCTAGAGTGAGTCAGCATCTGCCCCAGTCTGATTAACACCTGTTGCTCTCCAAAGTAAAGCCCTAGGCTGGAAGCAAACCCTTCTGTAGGCAAGGTGCAGATAGCAGACCACTACCGTCCACATTTTAGATGGCCCAGAAGTTCAACTTTGTTGACTAACAAGTGGATAGTCTTTCCCAAATCATTTAAGCTACACTGGACACTTGGGCATGCAATATTTTTTAGGTGCTATTGAGTCAGTGACCGTATGTATAACAGAACACTGCCGGGTCCAGTGCTAGTCTCACAATTTTTGTTTAAGATCATTGCTGCTGCCATTGCGTCTTCCTCTTTTTAGCTGACCCTGCACTTTACCAAGCATGTTGTTGTTCTCTGGGAACTGGCCCCTCCTGAGAACATGTCCAAAGTATGAGTGTCTCGCCATCCTGGCTTCTAAGGAGCATTCTATTCTGGCTGTATTTTTCCCAGCAAATGTTGTTTCTTCTTCTAGTAGCCCATGGTACTTTCAGTATTCTCCAACACCATAACTCAAATGCATCGACTCTTCTACTATCTTCCTTATTTATTGTCCAAATTTTACATGCCTATGAGGCAATTGAAAATAACATGGCTTGGATCAGATGCACCTTAGTCCTCAAACTGATATCTTCCCTCTTAAACACTTTAAAGAAGTCTTATGCAGAGATTTGCCTAATACAATGCATTGTATTGTTTGATTTTTTGACTGCTGCTTCCAAGAGTGTTCATTGTGGGCCTTAGCAAAATGCAGTGTTTGATAATTCCAATCTGTTCTCCTTTTTTCATGTTATTATTCCACTTATGAGGATTTAAATTTTCTTCATATTGAGGTACAATCCATACTGTAGGCTGTAATCTTTGATCAGCTAAAACATAAATTCTTGATCTAACCAAGCACAATGTTCTATTTTTAGCTGCCTGATGATATAATTATGTTCATACTACAAATCGTCTACAACTGACTGGTATTAACTTTCTTGTAAGAGCATAACATAACATGAACCATACCTACAAGGAATCACTCCACATAGAAAAGGTTGCTTTTAAGGGCCTTTGTCAAATGAAGTGATTTATTGTACTCTGTAAGGCTGAAATGAAACCTGGTGTGGGGCTGTAGGATAAGCATTGGACTACTAACCATAAGCCTGGTGCATTTGAACTGCCTCAATGGCACACAACAATGAGGACAAGGCTGAAATGAAATCTTCCTGACAGGTTAGTAAGTTGTCAATACCAAGATTAACTTTTTTTTTTTTTTTAATGTTTTATTGTGAATTGTGTGATAGTCTACATGGGAGAACATCAGCTTTACATTCATTCCATCATCCATCATTTCATTGACATAGTTACCATCCCGTCCATGCATCCTCACCCAACCAAGGGGTGTATACCCTGTAAGCCTGTACCCCCGCCCCCACCACCACAGTCCTCAGCCCGTTTCCATCTTCTGATCCCGAGTCCCCAGCCACACCAACTCTTGACATCGTCTTCTCTGCCTCCATCTCAGGCCTCACCTCCTCTTTGGGTAGGATTCCGTTCTTCGCTCTTTTCCATCTATGGTCCCAGGGTCCTCTGCTCCTAGACTGATAAGTTAATCACTCCCCTCTTTGCTACAAAATGTCCATCTTTACATTTCCAACCCTCATAATCAGTCCTGATAACAATTATTCACCATCGCATCACAAGAGACCCATCTATATTTCCTTTCATCAGCCCTTCCTGGACAGGCTGGACACTATTCACTGGAGTCTCTACCTTCGTTCAAGCCCTTTGGATCTAGGTTCCCTCTTGAAAGCCTGTAAGCCAGTCACCCCTTGCCTTTGTATCCCTCCCCCCATTTTGGGTAGCCAATGTCCAAGTTGCCCATCCCTGTCCATCCTTTGTGTGAAGGGGGTGGGAATAGTTCTTGCAGCAGGGGTTTGTTTCCTTTTTTGAGCCACTGCATCCATAGGTGTAGGTCTTGTTTACTGAATTGTATCAGATGACGCTTTTTTTCCCCCCCTCTTCTTTCCAAGATTAACTTTAAAAAAAAAAGTTTTATTGTGAATTATGCGATAGTTTACATGGGAGAACATTAATTTTACATTGATCCTATTGTACATCATTTCATTGCCATGGTTACAATCCCCTCCATGCATCATCAACCAACCAAAGGGTATATACCCTACAAGCCTGTCCCCCAATCGTCAGCAGACAGCCCCTCTCTCCCTCTTTGGGTCTAAAGTCCCCAACTGCTCCATGCCGTCGTCTCTGCTTCCATCTCAGGCATCACTGCTTCTCTGGGTAGGGTCCCGCTCTTCTCTCTTGAAGGTCCCAGGGACCTCTGCTCCTAGATTGCAAAGTTAATCACTCCCCTCCTTGCTACAAAATATTTACCTTTACATTTCCAACCCTCACAGTCAGTCCTAACAACAATTATTCACTATTGTATCACAAGAGACCTGTCCCCATTTCCTTTCATCAGCCCCTAGACAGATTGGATACTACTCAGTGGAGATCCTACCTTCCCCTGTGCTCTCTGGATCTAGGTTCCCTTTTGAAGGCTTGTAAGCTTCATTTCTTGCTTTTGTAGCCCCCTCCCCCACATCACTTTGGGTAGCCAATGTCTAAATTGCCCATCCCTGTCTACTCTGTGT